CCTGCGGTGGCACCTTGAATTGAGTCCCGGACAAGCCCTCCTTGTTGAATCCAGTCCAGGAGAAGCCCTCCTTGCTGTCCTGCAGCCGCCCTGCCCTCCCTGCCCCCTGCCTGCACCCCCCTGGAAGGTCCAAAAGCTCCGCAGGCCAGCTCAAGGTGCCACGTATGCCGACACCAGGTGCTCTGCCCTGTGCCATCTCCACTCTTCAAGGCTGGTCCTTCGCCTGAGCCAGGACATTTCCAGTGTCCCCCAGGGGGAACTTTAGACGCTGCCAACAATACAAACATGGCCAGGACATTCTGGCATATGAAGAAAACTATCGCAGGGCAGGACTCATCTCACCTGGCATTGGATGGTACCAGACGCCTAAGCTGCCTCAAACCCTGTTTTATCAATGGAGAGACTGGCACTGCTGGAGCAGGAACCATCTGACTAAATCAGATGGTTCCATGTCCTGACGTGGATGCAGACACTGCCATGGTAATGAGCTTGAGCCTGTCGGGCTCTGAACATGGTGGCAAGGCAAGGAACCACGTAGGAAATGATCCTGAGCTGACCTGTCATTTGTATGTCTTTGAAGAGGAGGTGTGTGTGAGACATTCCCTCCTGAATGTCTCCTGGGCTTTCTCCTCCCTGGCAGCCAAAGAAAGTATCTCCTCTTCATCCAGCAGTGAAGATGAACTTGTTCCAAATGCAAAGCAATCCCAAGCCTTCAATGAGAGTACCAGCCTCAGTACCAAGCATGACAGCCACGAGCCCTGTGCAGGAGGTGGCTGTGCACACAGCTGTGAAGGGGACACGGGGCAGGGCTAGCACCCCCTTTGGCCTGTCCCAAACAGGACGCTAAGGTCCCTGCAAGGGGTCGGGCTCTGCAGAGCCGGGAGGTGCAGAACGCAATCCCAGTCGGAGCAGGAGCTGCCTTCGCTTGTCAGGGCCCATTTGTTTGTGTGGGATGCCGTCCCGGAGGTGCTGCTTTCAGGAGGAGGAAGGATTTTTAGACAGTGAAATAACTAAATAACTGGCTGCCTGGCACACAGCTCCCCACTTCTTTCTCTGATTATTCGTTAAAGCTCAAGCTGAGTGGGGCCTTTCAGGAGGCAGGGCAGCACCAGCCACTCCAGCAGAGCTGCTCACAGGACACCAGCTAAGCGATGCCGGGAGGCCTCCCGGGTGGACCATGCTTCTGCCAACGCTGCAGCACTGTCGCTTTGGGTCAAATCCCTGTGGTCCCTGCAGGGTAGCTGCCCCCCACTCACCACAGCCTCCCTCAGCCAGGGGCACTGAGCAGCCTTAGCTCCCGGCAGGACACTCTTCCCTGTGGTGCTGACTTATTCACGGGTGAGGGGGGAGCAGTTCTCACCCCTCTCTCCTGCTTACACACTAGATATCCATTTGGCAGCCAGCAGCAAATCCCATTAAGGCAGCAAGATACTTAAAGGCATCAGCAGCTCTTGGCCCCTTACAAGAACAAGGGGATGGACCCATCTGAAACTGTTCACGTCCAACTGGAAGCAAGGATCCTACTGAGATAAATATTAATAGAGCCTGCAAAGGCAGGGATGGGGATAAGCTCGTTCATTAAGTGACTTTGTCCATATTCAAGGGACCAACACAGGATTTTAACAAAGGAAACAGCAACAAAAAACCCACGATGAAACTCCCCGTATATTTCCCTTTTGGGCCAAGAGAATCAAATTCACAGGTCACCCCACATGCCTGACATATCCTAATTAGCCTAGTAAAGCCCTGGCTGGGTTTTACATTTTCTGTACGAAAAAAGTGGAAGGTGGATGAGCAGAGGATAAAACCAGAGCAATAATTTCCTCAGTGGATCTGTTACAGCTGGGCAGATCTGCCCTGTTTATTTTGCTTGTCCTGGAAACTGCAACAGACAACAGCATGGCAGCTCTGGGAAACCTTGAGGTGCACCCGCTGCTGGCAGAGAGGCTACCAGCCCTTCTTCCCCGTTAGCTCTGGCTGTGAGCTTGCTCCCTTAACAAGCCTCCTTGCTGTTCCATGCACGACAGCCTGGGCCCCTTTACACACACTTGGCTCCAGAGCACAGTGTGCACAGCACGCTCTTGCACATACCCCTCAGCAGGTCAGATCGCCCAGAAGGAACGCAACGAAGGTGGCACACAAAACCCTCATGACTGAGCTGTCCACCAAAGCCTGGCTCTGCTACCTGCTCAGCTTTCATGTGCTCAGAACTAACGAGCCTTCCTCCACTCTTTGTGCCAAAACCACGTTAACAAGAAGCGTGCGCAGTGGAGGGAAGTCAGGTTCCCTCTGGTGCCACTGCTTTGCTGCCAAGTTGCTTTGCTTTCCTCTCTATATGCCCAAAACCAGTGTCTGCCCTGCTGGGTAACACAGCTGGAGCTCCACTGCAGGAAAGCAGCACCCAAGAGCGGAGCGTTGTCACTTTGCTGAGCACAGGAGCATCCTTCTCTGGCCTCCTGCCCTGTGCTCCGGGCGTGGGGTCAGCAGTGCAGCTCGAGGCCGAGCACACCTCCCAGATAAGCACACGGCATCCTGCCCACAGGGTCCCGCTGAGAGCAGAGCTTTTGCTTTCCTGCACGTAACCCCAGGGAGAGTGGCATCGAGATGCTGCCCTGCAAGTGCCCCAGGGCCCCCCGCTCCCAGCACTGGAGCTCTGCTGCAGCACAGTGCCACTAAAGCCACTGCGCTTGTGCCAATGGCTTTGCTCCTCAGGCTTTCCAGTCAGCTCTGGACACTAAATCCCCATGGTGTCATCATTAGTGCACAAGAGCACATGGCTTCAAGCCTGTCTTACACACCCACCCCTACCAACACCAGAGAAGGCGCTTGGTCACCAGCCGATGCTGTGACTAGTAGGTACAGCGGACACCTTCCCCTGGCTCTGCACAGACATGCCACCCCACTACCTGGCATGCGACTGCCTTGGTTAGGCCACCCAAGGGGCAGAGTTGGTTTGTAAGCGGTGAGGTGGCTGTTTTGAAGGTCACACACTGCCTGTGCCCCTGAGAGGTATCACTGGGGTACCTGAAGGGAACCTGAAACAGGAAAACCTGAGTTAAAGGGTTTTGACAAAGCCCTCAGTGACTCTTACTTCCCACACACGAGGGCCAAGCTTTTTTTCTGACCTTTTCTCCAAGCCCTCTCCGCCACCACACAGAAGCTCCTTGCCCCGCGCACGCACAGGGCCAAGTTGCGTTTGTCACCAGCCCGGCTCGCGGACGCCTGCCAGAGCCGTACCCAGAGCTCTGTGTCTGCGGGTGCACACGTGCCGACCCATCCACCTGCCCCAGTCTCCACGCACAAAAACTCACTTTGGCTTCTTTTTTTCCTCCTGCCTCTCTGAAATCAAAGATGCAAACTGAGAAGGAGGCTCTGAATACTTGGAGAAGATAGCCCTACCCATCACCCGCTGACAGGGAAGGGCCTGGTTATCACCAGTGCTGCCTGCCAGCGAGGGCTGCGGACTTCAAGCAGGCAGGGAGGGCACAGAGCGCTTCTGAAAACTACGCTGCCACTTGCTTCTCTCTTTTACAAGGTCAGACGGGGGGTTTTTTGGTGATGGTCATGGTCAGTGACACTGGCAAAAAGGCTATTTCAGGAGCCCCTTTAAGGACACAGGCACTGCTGCTGGGTGACTTCTGACAGGAAATCCTGCCTGCATCCACAGCATTGCACAGCAACATGTGCCACAGCGTTTTTATTGATTTTTGATGGATGATTTCCTCTAGGACTCGTCAAAACTGGGCAAACCAGCTTCAAGCTCCAGACTACTTTGTAGGAGAAAGTGGTGCAAGTATCACCATGACAAGAGGAAGTTTTGGGGCTTTCTCTATTATTCTGCTCCTCTCTGGTAAGCTGACCAGTAGAAAGAAGACATAAACCAATTCATTAACTCATCATGTAATTACTGTTTCATTAAGCCATTTAAAAATTATGTATCTAACATACAAATTTAAACTGGAAAAAATTGTGATGACACTTGGTTTCAGACTGCAACATCAATAAAGTTATAAGGCCCAGTCATTGGGATCAGCATCTCAGTTTGCAATCACTAAAACAGATGTTTTGAATCTCACATGAATATAAAGCAAATGCCCTATTGAAAAAACAAGAGATTATTCCTTTACTTCCTGGCCTTCTTTTTGCTACAGCATTACTTAAAATTATTCAGTCAGATGGAATTGGAAAGTCTATTTGATCTCAGACAACCAGAGGTGGGATGCCTGGCTCCGGAGGCACATGCAGGGGATGATGCTCTGACAGCTGCTGACAGAGATCAGCTCCGCTAATGCAAGGTCTGTCCGTAGGAAGCGAGAGAAATCCTTCCAGGGCAAACAAACACGTTACTGTTGGGATGAGCCACTTGGTCAGCATTCACTCCCAGAGTGACGCAGGCAGCAGGAACCTGGGGTGCCTGTGAAGGGGTGAGATCCTGTGGGGCACCAGCTCTGAAACCACCCAGCCTGCCTGGGCTCTCCCTCGGGCAGCGCACCCCTCCCTCACAACCCGTTCCAGGCAACGCTTCCTCGCAAGCCCTGGGCTCTGTCCCTGGCACATTCAACATCCAGGAGTGCAAAAGATATGTCGCAGGGCTGCTGCTGGGTCAGGTGGCCGAGCACGAGTGGGAGTGTCCTGCATCCCTTACCTCCTCCCGCCCGCTCCGCGCTCCCCTTATGTCCCAGAGCCGGGCATGGTGTGGGTGAGAGGAAAGACATTAGGACTTGTTCTGTTCTAGCGCGGGAAGGCTGCGAAAATAACCACGTTTTTGTGTAAGAAGAGGTTGATTAGCTCTTCTGTTGATCAGCGTGTGCTCTTTAAAGAAAGCATTTCTAGACCAGCTGGAGCCTTAATTGAGACAAATCATGTCATTTGTTTGAGCCGCTCTACTCGCACAGCTCTGCGTTTAGCTTGCAGGAGAAGCTGAAAGACAGCATCCATCCTTCAAGACTGCGCCATGTGCGTGGCTCCAATGCACGCTGCCACCTGGGTGTCTTCCATGACTAGGGGCTCTTGTTCCGAGATGTTGTTGAGGCGGTGGGTCTGTCTGGTAGTGACTGCAGCACAGCCCTGGCAGTCAGGGGCCAAGTGATGTTCATCAGCCCAAACCTCTCCGAGGCTGTGGTGGATGAGCAGACAGCTGGCTGGTGGTGGCTGACCTCTCCAGGAGGGCTCGTGCCTATGGTGGGCCTGAGGAAAAGAGAGAAACACTGCGGTGAAACTGCACTCTTGAGTCTGGGTATCTGCACCCTCCCCACAGCTCTGCTGTCTCCTGCTCTGAAAGTCAAACCAAAAGGTGCCAGGCCTGGGAGCAGCCCAAGGCACAGCAGCTTCCCACACAAGGCATGCGCTCTCTGCCCATACTGCTCTACAATGACTATGTTCACTTCAAAATCAAGGCATCCTGTCACAGCTCCTCAGTTCTGTTTCTTCAAAGAAACTGACCTTACAGGAAGCGGGTTCAGGAATAACCACATTTGGGTGCATGCAACCCTTCTCTAATGCCTGCTTTATTTTCCAAAGCTCTTTCTAACATGAATTAAGTTTCAAGGGAAGAAATGCAAAGTAGGATGTCAGGAGCTTGTCCTGGGGTTTACCTGGGGAGAGTGTTGAACAAGCATCACTACAAGAGAGCTCTGCCACAGACGCAGGCATTGGCGCTGTGTGGGGGACGTGAGAATGGAGCAGTAAGAACACAGGAAAATTCTGGGCTATTATTCAAGAAAATACAAAATTTCCAATGCTCAAGCTATAAGGAACACGAGAAAAAGTTTCATTCAGCCTTACATAGACAAAGGCCAACGTCAGTACAAACAAAAGGAGTCCTTTTTACAGAGCAGGCAGGAGAATCCAGAGACAACACCCAAGTCTGCTTTTTCCTGCCTGAAGCCCCTTCTGGTTTCCCCAGGCGCGCTGCAGGCATACCTGATGCTTGCTGAGCCACCAGCTCCCGGTCCTGACCTAGGTCTTTGCTGGCCGGTGCTCCGTGCAGACTGGTCCTGCCCTCGGGATCCGGCGGCGGCCGGCACGCTGTGCTGGCTCAGGAGAGCAAGCGCCTCATCCAGAGGCTGGGCTGAAGTTTCCTGATGAGCCCTTGCCCGGCATCGCTGTGTCCACTGCCCATCCTCCTCTTGGCTAGGTATTTTTAGGCATCTTATCCTGTGGTTTCTTGTTTTCCAGGGTCTTGCTGCAATACCCATGACAGATGCAGGTGAAGGGCTTTTTGGAGGGGACGGAATGAGACAATGGTTCGGGTTGGAGAACACTGCACCTTCCTGAGCCCGTGCCAAACCTGAAACAGGGCAGGGAGTGCAGTGATTTACCAGTTCACCTCACTCCTGAATGACCAACCCAGGGAACGAAAAGTTTCGGAGAATGCTGTGTGATGGAGCTGGGTGGGCAGACGTGGCCCGGGGCACGCAGTGGTGTTGGCCTTGTTGAACTGCTTCCTCTGACGGCCGCAGCTTTGGGTGGCTCAGCAGCCTCCCTGTTGGTACTGCTGGTGATGGGCCAAGCACGGGAACTGCTCACGAGCCCCGCACAGCTCAGGAGGGACAGACCAGCTCACCCATCCTCCTGTTCTCAGGCAGGATCATACCTGCATCATTCCCGGCCAGTGTTTGCACTGACTTACTTTAAATACCTGAGGACCCCACTGAGTGATCCAAAATTCAAGGCACAGGAATAATAATCACAGATGAGTGGATCCACTTTTTTTTAACCAGAGGCAGAGGTGTAAGAATAACACCTTGAGATTAGCCTTAACATTATGGAGAGTGCTTGACTGCTAGGGAAAATATTGCATTACAAGCAGGGCTGCTATCTGGTGGTTCATATTTTAGCCCATGTAATCCTTAGGCGCAACATACAGAGAAGGAAAATCATCTTGTGGCTGACTTATGAATACAACGTGCAGGCATATTTGCTTAAAACCATTCTATGTATAGCAGGGATCCAAATGCTCCTGTCTATTAAAAAAACCAACTGTACCTAAGCACCCGATGTGCAGGGTCCAGGGTAGGAACACGACCTAAAGAATGTGACACCGAAACCCAGGCCCAGAAACTTCAGCTTTATAGCTCTGAATTGATGGGGGTGTGTTTTACTGCCCAGGTAATGACATAAAACTGATTTAAATTTTCACTGAACAGTTTCCATCACACTATAGGCTTTACAAATATGTAAATTTCCTAGGGTTTTTTAATTTCTTTTTAAGACACTGAAAGACTGGTATACCTGACTCCAGAGCCCAAGATAAGACCCAACAACTTCCAAAGAGTATAAACTATACGGATCTGATCCTGAAACACTTTTACGTAAGAGCAGTTTTGCTCAGATGACTTGTTCCTTTCCTGGTCAGAAGGACTGTTTCCAGCAGCAAGTTCTTCTGTGAGAAAATCACATTGGGTAGGACACACTTCTCAAGGTAAGTGTTGAGGCATTTGAATACCTCTCCAAACTTAGACACAGTCTCAGGTCACAGAAGTCAAGTGCATTTATTCAGCCTTGCTGAATAGTCTACCAGTTGCTAAAGTTTTCTCAGGTATTTGCTCTGCAAAGGCTACTGTGCTTGTGATTATTTGAATCTTGTTTATTACGGCCCTGGGATTTGGGTCACCTCCCCTGCCCCTTTAGGTAATGCTAGATTTCAAACCACTCCATCAATCTGTAACCAAATCCCAGCAGATTTGGTTACAAGATGGGCAGATCTACGCCCAACCATTTACGTTTATAGTCCTATAGGATGTGACACTACTATACTGTGAGATGCTTGGGGCACGGTCTACTTAATCTACAAAGATGAGAGCATAATAAATCAGACTCAATCTAAATAAATCATATTAAATCTAGAAAAGATCAGATTAAATCTAAAGAGAACATGAGATCATAATCTAAGACTTATGTGGCCACTGGACAACAGACCATTCCTTTAGATTTTTCCAAACAGCTTCTGTTCGTGTTAAGGAGACATTGTTTATATGACTGTTAACATTGAATAGTTTACTGATACTTCTGTTTTTTCCAAAATATATGATATTTTTCCAAATTTTAGTAGATCTGGTTTTGCTCTTGAAAGAAATGTAAAACAAAAATTCTCATGCTAATATTTACTGAGAAAAAAAAAAAAGTGATTATTAACAATAGAAACAGATTAAAGTTGTACTTACTTCTGTAAGCTCCTCTACTTGATATGCACTTGGAACGACCATTATTAATGTTTCTAATATTCTTAAATATGATATTCAACCACTAGTGAAGACCAGGAATTCTGCTTTCATTCACATAAATTAAATTCCAGAGAGGCCCCTGGTTTGGTTCCTGAGTAGAAGACCACGTTTCATTTTTAAACTCTTTACTGAATGCGTCCATTTGGTTGCCTATCTTTCCAGAATTCCCAGTTCCCCATTAATTAAACCTTAATCATCAGCTCAGCCATTACTTCCACCAGTGCCAACTGGGGTAAAATACAGCTCAGTTGGAACGACAGTGTTTTAGACTCATCTGGCACTGCCATAAATTAATGGCACAAGGTAAAAGACAGAGGCACATCCTTCCTCTAGACTCGATGCTAAGCTGGTGTAAGACCAGCTTTGTCCCTCTTAATTATACAGACCCGTGCTGAGATATATCAACTGATGGTCACCACTGCCAGCTGCCATGTCCTCCTTACAAACCGGAATGGGTTACTTAGGGTCTGGCTCTGCAAGGACATTTCCAAATTGCTGCTCTAGAGCACAGAAGCCAGATCTCATCCAACACTGCAGTTACTAATACACCTACCTACCAAGGGGTAGTAGCACGTGTCACTACCCGATGCTAACCCTTCCCCAGAGGTGTAGGTCCAGTACCTGAGGAAGACTGGGAGAGACAGGAGTGGGAAGAAGAATCGAGTGAAATCCTTTCAACAAGGTCCTCGCCACAGGTCTCCCTCAACTCATCTTCACAGCTGTCAGCCAGGCTACAGTCTTCATCCTCTTCATCATCACTAAGAGTTACCTTCAGTGCTTGGGTGACTTCTTCTTCCTGACCTGTTTGCAGGTACCTGGACAACATCAAGTATCACTCCTTTAGCCTTTGAGTCGTGAATATGCAGCCAGCCAAGTGCAGCCTGGCATGGCCACGCCAGCAGACACCCAGGCAGTGGATCCAGCCACCCGCTGTAAATTCCCACTTTCCTGGAGACACGGAAAATCATTCCCAATGGATCAGCCACCTAAGCTCTCTGTGTCTGATTATCTGAAAGTGTTCTCAAGTTAATCAAGTGAAATGGGGCAGATTTAAAATACCGCACAGTGAAGCTCAGACAAATAAAGCCATTTTTCCTTCCAAAACAACCATTATCTGTCTATGAGATGGGGGAATCTCAGCATAGCGTTATTTTCCTTTCAGCCTTTCATTTGGTTAGGCCAATGTGATACTTGAGAAAACCTTATGTATTTTCACTTCTTTTACTGTCTGAAGGTAGGCAGTCAGGGCCAAGAACGTCTTATCAGTTATGAAAAGTCATTTCCCTGCTCTCGCTACGCAAGCGAGCCCACCCTGCCTATGCTGGTCTTCAGACCCAGAGAGAGGTCAGAGCTTCCCCCAGGTTTCTTCTCCCTTGCCCACTCCGCAGATGCTTCAGTGGGAGGACTGATGGGAGGGTTCCCACCGCAGGGACAGGAAGGGAGGAGGCCAAGACCATCCCCTGAAGCCACCACCAGGTGGCCAAGGAGTTTATTTTACTATTCCAGCAGAAAACAAATGCCCGTTCTATTGCACAACAGTTCTCCCGCGGTCTCACCGCTTGTGCTGCTCTCTCCATACTCTCAGTTCAGAGAACACATCTCCCTGGTGCAGACCTCCTTCTCCTCCAGAGCCGCAAAGGTCTTCAACCCTCAGACCGCAGCGTTTCAAAGGGCTCACTGCAGGTGGCTGCAAAAACGACAGAAGTTCTCTTGATAACCTCCAGAGCTCTCCCCAGCTCTGTTTCTAGACTGTGGATTTTAGAAGGCAGCACAGCCTCCTGTTACTGAGTTTGCAGATCACCCCTCACCATTTTCTTGCTCTTCAGTTTTAAGAAGCCCCATGCCTCAGTCCCACACACTGTTACCGCTCGAGGAACCTGGGGTGGCAGGAACAACAAATGTTGATTTATGTCCTGCTGGTGTATAGGCCTGGATCATCTATACCAACAAGCATATTAAGACCACTACCCCAGAAACGACATCATTCAGCCCATGACCGTAGTCCCCTTTCACATCCCAGTTTATAACAGTCAGTAATTCACTCAAATATTCAAACTGGTTTCAGAAAAGCTTCCAGGGCTCGAGCAGTGGCAGCAGAGAGACAAGGGACGGACACATTTTTTCCAGAAGTTCTTTAACGTCTGTTGTCAGCATGACTTGCTGCTGCTGACAGCGCAGCCATGCAGGTGTCCTGTGCATGCCGTTTCCCTGCTCTGCCACGTGCATCCACCCCGTGTTGAACCTCAGGGCCCACAAAAGCTAACCATGGTGAGCCAGACTGCACCCCTTTACACACGGGTGTCCTCACACTAAGTGACTGCCAAAATGAGCGGGGTGACCCACAGGGATGGAATATCACCCCACTACTAAGAGGAACAAACTTTGGCTTTGTGTTTGTTTAGTCAATAGAAATGACCTTGCAGCATTAGTGTTCTGTTTATGCCAACATCAAAGAAACACTGCTGAAAAAAAGAATCTTTTGCTTAATAGCTTTCGTAGAAACACTGTCACATTTTGCAACCTTGCCTCGGCTTTGCTCAGCCAGGATGACAGGAAACCTGCCGCCAGCAGCCGATATGTGATTTTCCTATGTTCCTTCATGGTTAATCGCTGCTAGCACATGGGCACCTTTATAACATCAGGGCAAGAGACCCTCTGTCCTCCTCAAGGCCAATTGTGTGTTGGGGGGCTTTTGGGCTACAGAAGAGAGTGAGCCACCACAAACCACAGGCGGAGTTTGGTTTATCCCAGGATTTATGGGGGTCACTGGGCAGGAACATGAAGTATACGAGAAAAACATACACCCAGCTTTTGCCTCCTTGCACGAAGGGCCTTAGTGGGGTTCCCACAGATAACTTGACTGAGTCCTAAGAAAAAAGGAAAAAAGAAAATATTTTACTCCAGCATTTAACAAATGGTGCTGTCTTTGAAATCAGTCACCACCATTTCCCACGTATAGGAAGATGTCATGTTTCATGGCATAGGTTCACAGCATCAGCTGGCATGGCCCGACCCTGCCGCTGTGGCAGTTCCTCTGTTTTTACCAGAATCTGTCTCCTCCTGCTCCTGCCCTGCCACCTCCACCGTGCTGGTGCAAACATTGGTGCGGCCACATGGCGAGTCAGATCAGGGAACAGATCCAGACTAAAACTGAATATGCTTTTTGGGGTGCTTTTGGTTTGTTTTGCTGTGTTATTTTTCAGCTGGATCTTGATCAGAATCAGGCTCCCCATGTGGCTACGCAGACGCTCTTGCCAAAACCAGAGACAAGGCAGCAAAGGGGCAGGAAGAAGCAGCGAACATTGGGTGAAACCGTCTCGATCAGCAGTGCTAGCTACCTACAAGTGTATGTGAAATTACTGTCTCATTCCCTGGCAAGCTGTACTTGGTTTCCACGTACCTTCCCGAAAGCCCACTCAGCTGTTTACACTGCATTGCTTCATCAAGTTCATCATCGAGTCCTACCTACAGCAAGCAACTGAGGTGGGACTAGCACCTGAGAGCAGCCCACAACACTGGGAAAACAAACACCATCTTCTGATCTAATATGCACTCTACAGGCCAATGGAGTTGCACCATCGAGGTCTTTCCAGGAGCCAGGGAAGGATGTCTTGGGAAGTGCCAGATACTGTACCAGAAATGAACTCCCTTTCCACCCAGATGTCCCCAGGAGCTGCTAAACTGGCAGTATCCAGCTGGCCAGGGCACGAAGGGCAGTGGCACACCTATTTTGGGCTAGCCTGTAGATCAGGTATGCGAAATCTGACTCCTCTTGTTGAGTGATCCACCCCTGGAAACCCCAAAGAAAGCACTCACTGACAGCAGGGATGCTGCTGCAGTATGAGATTGCAGCGCACGCAGTTTGAGCACCTGATCCAATGGGGAGTGAACGTGCATCACCATGGCTTTCTAGAGGACAACCTTGGACCACGTTCCCATGACTGAATGAGATGTGCCCGCTGACCAAAGTGAGCCCCAGCTAGGCTGACGTGTAATTTAAAGGGCGGAGCAAGACAGCTTTTGACACGGTGTGAAAGGCAACAGCAGCAAGAGAGCACCATTGCAGTACGGGGCGCCACACGCAACGTCAGGAGGGACGGCAGCACGTAACGCATGGGGGTGAGGGGCTGAGGAGGGGGAAGCCCAGATGACTTGCACCTTCTGCTGCAGGGGGAAATAACGGAAAGCCCACGCTAGAGCAGGTGAATCCCATGGAAGAAAGCATATGCCGAACCCGATCTAGCAGCAGCATGGGTGGGTGGTATTCAAAGCACCCAGGCTTTCATTAGCAATACTAACATTCAGAAAGAGGTGGAGGTGTGGGAAAGAACAGGAGTAAAAAACATACATTACCATATGTCAAATCACTGGAGTCATCTTCCGTGAACAGCTCATCAGGAACGGTGGGATCTGGAAGAGGACAGGCACCGTACAAGAGGCGGGCATGGCTAGATCTCCCTGCGTTAGCAGGCCACTGTGTGGTGCCAGGACTGGAAGCTGTCAGGGGTCTTGGGCCACATCCAGACTGCCTTGCTACTGCCCCAAGATACAGATCTAAGAGAGAGGTTTGACTAGTGCGAGCAGTCATGCCAGGCTCCAAACCACACCATCACCATGCACTGCCAATATGGCGACTGCATGCTTGGAGCTGTGGGGGACAGAAAAACATGTCATGCTGGAATAGGCCAAGAAACATGCTGGAAAGGGCCAGGGCTGGAGACAGAGGGCTTCCTGGTGCTGCAGGCAGTCCCCTGCAGCTGTCCTCTGCAGTCGGCGCAACATGGGGACCCCCAACCAAACCAAAGTCCCTCCCCACCCTCCTCCTGGGCACACTCCGCTGCTGGCTAAGCATGGGGTCAGGCACTGCTCTGTGCTCACCACCTGCCTCCAACTGCCCCACGGGGAGCTGGGATGTGTCCAGGGCTCTGCCGCTCCCCCTGCCTGCATGCCGAGGGGCAGAGTGAACTGCCTCCTTTTTGCTGCCCACCTGCCTGCAGGGGAACCGCTGCCGGCTGGCCACAGGCATAGTCCAAGCCCCCAGTCTGAAAACATATTGCTTAAATGCCCAGGCACCACACAGATGGTGACGGCCACCGTACCACAGCTGTTTGTCAATCAGGGCACACCATGTACCAGGAGCTACGGAAATCTGGGAATGGCAGTCATAGATTTTTCCAGTACTGCCACCAAGACAGATACTTCTCTACCACAGAAAGAAAGGCAAAACACGACTTTTTGTAATGCTACAGGGCAGGGTGGGTTATACAAAAGCTCGTGAAGGCAGACAGAGCCTTGTCCTCTCACCTGCCCATCCGCTGGCTCTCCTGGGAGCACAGCATGGCTGTGAGAGCAGCACGTGCAGCCAACAACCCATAGGAGAGCAAATTTCATTTCGGTGCTTAGATGAATAGCGTGCTTTGTAAAGTGCTGAGCATCTACCAGCTCCACAGTGGAGCAATCAGCTCTGTAATAACATGGCCATTTCCTTAAGAGCCTAGAGTTAGGGATGTCTAAATATCTTGGCCACAGTTGTTAATACAAACCCATGAAATACGCAGTGTGTGAAAAGTACCCGAGTCAACATTGCCATAGGAAAGGAAAAATATGGGGATGTCTGGACCTGACCGTAGGAGCTCGTCAGTTTAGAGCTGAAGGCAGGACTATAAGTATGGTTATACCAGGAAACAATATGAATTCACAATTTTGTGCTCCATCCCTCCTGGTCCTTAACTAGTTTTCTGAACCACAGCTCATGTTGCCAAAGCAGGAACTCCGAGGGACCAGATTTTAATGGATTTTTTCCCTACTGTAACTACTATTACAACTATTAATTTGGACCCACCAGGATTAAATAAATGACAAACGTATGTACTTACTCCAAGACAAACTAAATTTTTAATGGAGTACAGTTGGCTGGCAAACCACAAGTGGGGGCCACTACATTGCCCAGGCTAATGGGAAGCAACAGGAGCAGTTATAGGAAATACTTTGTACCATTTAATGGTACGTGGTAAAGTGCATGTTGTGTGATACGTAAAAGTATGGACATCTGAACTATAACCAAGGCTACAGGCAGGGGGACAAGAGATTTATTTTCAACCCATTTACTCTCTACTAACGAATGTAATGGACTTAATCACAGAGGCAAAGAAAATGGCACAGACCTCTTAAGAGACCACGCAATCTCAGTTGCTAGGACGTTGCTACCATTGAGGAGTGGTGACCAAATTGCCTTTCCTATTATTAAATCAGAATAGGAAATCCTGCTACATCCATTTTACATCGGATTGACTGCTACCATGGAAAGGGCTGTGAACAGCTGCTGTTGAAATGCTCCTTTCCAAGCTTTTCCTCTTCCCATCGCACAGAATGAACGCTAAGTACAGACTCTCAGCTACCTCTGGATGTGCTTGACGCTCTAGAGGCTGTTTGCATTTTTCTGATCTTGATGCCCAGCTTAGGACAGCTTTCATTTAAATCTGCACCGTGCTGAATTCCAGTTTCCTCATTTCCCAAGTGAAGACAAGGTCCATAATCCCTTCACCATAATTAAATGTTGGCTTTGAAGAGGCCAGTTTGCTCTTCATCTTTCTTTTTCACACGTTATAACCTGAAAATATGAACTCTGATAGGAAACCTGACATACCTAACCATGAAAAGTCTCCAGCTAAACCACCGTCCTTGATAGATTTCTTGATGATTAGCCAACCCTCATGCATCTTCTTTGAAGAAAGCAGAGCAGTCTGGCTTGCTGGTATTTCATCCAAATACTCCAAGTGGGGAATGAGTTTTTTAACTTCAGCTCTGTAATTATAATTTGGTTCCTGGAGAAATTGAGAAAGTGGTTACTTGAACAGTTTATTGAACAGACTGTGGACTTCCACCAGCAGCACAGCAGTGTTCAACTTGTGTAACTGCCATATACCTTCAAACGCCTTCTATGAGGCAAACCTACTCACCTCATTCAACAGAAATACACAGAGTCAGGAGTTCCATTTCACTGTGCTTTCTCCTCACGTAATTTCTACTCCAATTGATCATGAACATGTCCTGAGCAGCGCAAACACATGCTCCCCACCCAAAGGCTCCTTTGGTGTTTTCCCACAGACTTTAGCATTTGCCGTTGTTATATTATGTACCATGTACAAAAGCATAGAAGGTCCCTGATGCCCATGGAAAGCCTGGGCACCCTCAGTGTTCAGCCAGCCTCTCTCCCTGCTTTTACAATTCCCTGGTTGCTGCATCAATTCTCAGATGATAGGAAGACCTGAAAACACGTTGGGAGTGTTGCTACACCTGCTGATGGAAAACAGAGCATTTCCACAGATCGTGTTTTCAGGCACACCCATAAACCAGCTACAGCAAATGGACTGCCCTGATTTTCCAAGGCAGCCTTCAGGGGTTTGGTGTGTGATTTTATCCACTGTTATAAGCAAAGGCTTCATTCAACTACGTGTTCTTCTCCAGGAGGTCGCATGCCAACAGCGGGTGCACGGAAAGCTACAACGGACGGCACTCTGCTGCCTTCTCCGCGTGCCAGAAAAGCACCACAGCTGCTCGCAATGCACATGGACTCAGTGTGACAGCCACGGGGGGAAGCATGCGTGCAGCCCCTTCAGCATGCGTGGGGGTAGATTCAGGAGTGCCAGTGCTTGGGGACCTCTGAGCAGCAAGGCCAACCCAGAACAGTTATAACAGCACACTGCAAATTGGGCTGTCTTGGTGGATTCCAGAAGCAGAGAGACACCTTCGCATGGCACCTTCATCTTGGGGAAAACTTAGCAATACCTCAGGGCTGACTGGGTTGTGCTGCTTTGCAACGGCAATATTTTTTGTTAAAATAGTCTCAGATTAGAAAAGGCAGCAAATGGTGATGGCGGTCTCTTCTACTCAAAGAAAGTATAAAGCCAGAGTGCACTGCTAGAGGCAGAATATGAATGGACAGCGACCTACAAACCAATCGCTTCACCCAGGTAAATGTTACACTTTTCAAGGCACTGCATGCAACATTAGAAACCCCCCAAAGCCAACTCCTCATTCAACATGGAGTTGTCACAAGCCTGGCTGGCCGTGTGCTCTCTCCCTCCACACGATGCAGCTGTGAGGCTGGCGGAGGGAGCTCACCAAACAAAGCATGTGTTTGTTGCTGTTAAGAGGCAAACACTAAATTTCTCTAACTAAGCCTTTAATCTTAATTTAGAAAATGAGTCAACCCATCGCCATGCTACCCCATACCACATGTACTCTGAGCGGTGCCTGGGCTACAGCCAATTTCCAGCCATGTCCTGTTGGAGAGAAGCATCACGTTATGCTCATGTTACACGACTGCAACAGAGGCTGCAGAATTTATCATCAGGTTGTTGCTCTTGGTTTAGATAACAGGGCAAGATGAGCTCATCTGAAAATCAAATTACAGAGAGCTAACAGGCCATCTGAAGAAAGAGCAGTAAATTTAGCTGGACCATTCTGTAGATTAGAAGTAAATAAATAGGAGAGCTTTTACAGAGCTGTAGCAAGGACCAGACTACAAGAAGGAGCTTGAGGAATTAGAGGGGGCCATCAAAGTAAGGCCACATCTATTATTTTCTATATTTCAGGTGGCTTTTCTATACCCTGAAGAAATGCAAACGTCAGTTGGAACCAAGAAAGTGACAAAGCCCATGGAGAAGCTCTCGCTGGCCAAGGGCAGGGCTGGCTTTGTAACTGCCCCCGGGCTGAGCAGCTTCCCAACACGGTGACTGGGTGGGAGACTACAGTGAACTTACAGTCTGTCTCTGCTACAGCTCAGTGTAAAACACACCATCTTGCAGACTCCCTCAACAAATTCTGGCTGGCATTTGAATGCAACTGCTTGCACAGGAGACAGCAGACAGCCATTCAGCACGGAGAAGAGCAGCAGGGCACACCACCACACAGCACTCCTCTTTGAACTCCTGTGCTGTGCCCACACACAGCAACATCCCAAGGACTGATGTCCTCAGCTATACAAACCAAGGGCAATCTGACATTTCTCCGTTACATCTAAGGATTGAAGATGCCAAGTGAAAACTACACCCTCCAAAAATACCACTTTCGTTGAGTGGAAACGACAAGGGAGTAGAAAGAGACTTCTTATGCTGTTAGGACATACTGAACCATTTTCATGGTAGGAAGCTCTGATAAGGAAGTGTTAGAAGTTGTGTTTTTCTCTGTGGGACTAAAAAGAGTAAGTAGGCCTGCTTCATCCATCAGAAGCAGGCAGCGTTTCCTTACTGTAGGAATATGGTTTTCCATCTCATGACTGCATCCTCCCTAAGGGAGAAATGTTGATGGAGAAATCATTCTGGTTACAAATAGTTACAAATGTGGTCTCTGAAGTATAATTCTACCAGTTTGAAGGAGAAGGGCAAGTGTATAATATTTTCTTTTGGATTCAGAGAGGAAAGTCATGATAGCTAAAGCACTACCTTCTGTGTCTCCTTTTACTAAGGGATATGATCAAGCCAGCAATTACACCTGAAAAATGCTAATAACTCATGTATCTAAAAAGTGCCAAGATTTAAAATAGGCACATGTCTACCACACGACTGAGTTACTGATAGCACCCCAGTTTTCAAGTCTAAATCCAGGACAAATATCAAACCCAAACTTTTCTGCAAATTAATGGCAGGGGCATGACCGCTCTGAAGCACACGGTGACGTGATGGAACACGGCACAGCGCAGCCACAGCACCAGCTCCTGCTCTGCTCCAATCCCTGCTGCGTTGTCAGCTCTTTACGGTATCAGCGGGGACTGCGCCACCCTTTGTGAGCACGGCACATGACACACCTCTGCGTGTGTGCGCACAGGCCTGTGACCTTCTAAAAGACCTGGATCACAATACATTGTGTGCTGGCCATGAACTGTCATCTGATGATATGTGTTAGACATTATGTGACCAAAATGAGGAACAGCCTTATTTGACCAAGTTTTTAAAACTCTGATTTTCTTCTACTTCCCTTTTCAGTGCATGTCAAGATGTTTGTTTTTCTATCCCAGCAATGTTTCTTTTTTTTTTTTTTTTTAAGCAGCGAAAAGTGAAAGAGAGTAATACAGCTCTGAGACTGTTCATGTAGAATTAGATCTCCCTTATTTCTCTTGTTGACTGCCCTGAAACCCAAAGCAGTGTATTACTGTGTTTTCATCTTTGTGACACAAAGGATCTCATGCCCTCCACAAAATACCTCCACAGAAATGATTCTACCATAAGAGGTGAATCACCGTGTTTTGTACCTTCAGCTTTTGCTGAAGGGTTGTTTGGCATTTGATTTTAACCTTTCAGAGGAAAGGACAACAAGCAGTTCCTACAATATAGCTTTTCCCAGTTACCTCAAGCACTGTTTTTCTGAGGATTCAGCTTTTGAGTGTGGTGGTCCTGGAACACTCGCTGTTCAACCAGGGAGCCTCCAAAAGAAACGTAAAAGCCCGAAGACACATATCTAATTGAGGCATTGCAATTGGCACATCTTGTAAGAAAAACATCGGCTACTTTCTAACCCACCACAAGGTGCCTATAGGCTAGAAGAATCCATGCAGCTGGGGTCCATGCTCTCCTCAGTCTTCCTTTAAGAGGCCTGTTTGCACTGCAAGCTGGGAGAAAACAGAATGGCTGTATGGATCAGAGCAGCTGATTTCCAGTTGAATCCCATTCTGACACGTAAGAAGGAACACATTGCTAGGAAACAGTCCTGAGTCTTTACTAGCACTCCTTGTATTACTCAGTTTGTGCTCATCTTGGAGACAATATCCACGAGCAGGCAAAATGAACAGAAACAAAAGATGGGAAATGCATCCCATGTCATCACTCAGAATGACACAATAGGAAGACGCAGAAACATTTCTCATTCCCAACTCGAACTGAAAAAGCACTGCCAGGTCCTTACCTCTGCAGATTCTGCATTTGGCTTCAGACAAATAAGGTTGCCCTCCACTGTCAGACGGCTCAGCTTGCAACAAAGTCCCAGGTACTGCATCTGGCTGATGTCCTCAATATTGTTCCCTTCCAGGTCCAAAACCTCAAGGTGATCCAACCAGGTCAGCTGGCTCAGGTCAGAGATACTGTTATAGGCTATGTAGAGTTCCTCAGCAGAAGAAAGCAGAATAAAGACGTAAACCACAGGCTTGCACAAGTAACACTCAGGCTTTGCAAAATGTTTTCTAATATGGCACAGCATGAAATCAGCATGGAAGGGAACATTTTTAAAGTGTGGTTGTTGCTGCCTTAAATAAATAGGGCTAATATGGCAATGAACACGATGCTGCATGAAGCATCTTCAGGATCAGACCTGAATGACAGGATCAGACCTGAATGAAAGACCTCTACTCTTAAAAAAACCCACAGCTGTATGGTCTTTTAAACTAACACATGCCAGTCATGGCATTGAACCAAAGTGCTTTAGAAGAACAAAAAGTGAGAACGACGACTGCGAGTAAAGAGTATCAACCCAAGCCAGCTTTGAGATTGTAATTTTTCAGGACACATCTACACTTACTTTTAGAGAGCTGCAGGAAGAGATCCCATCTAAATCCAAGAGCCCACAGCAAGCCATCCACAGGACACGGAGATGGGACAACGTGGTTCCAAGATCCCTTACAAATGAAACAATTCAAGCTCTATTTGAATGGAAAGCAAACCGCTCAAACATAAACAAAATACAGCACTTTATCAAATCCCAAACCAACCAAAAGCTCATGATTCTCTACTGTAGCTGTGATATCGGACTATCTGAGCAATAAAGAACTACACAACGGGGAACTAAATACAAGGACAGTTTATCACAGGAGGTAGAGACCAGCATGGAGTTCACAGAATCACAGCAATGGCTGAGGTTGGAAGGGACCCCTGGAGGTCATCTTCTCCAATCCCCGTGCTCAAGCAGGGCCAGTTGCCCACAACCACATCCAAACAGCAAAACAGTTCTTAAACAGAGATTCCCGGAATTCAAAATTGTGGATTAGCCATCTTTTATAGTATCTATTTTTATAATATACATTATAATAAATAATACATACTTTAATGCACTGTCTAGGGAAAATTGCAGAAGATAAAAGAATATGGTCATGGGGTCCCTTCTGATCTTCGAATAATGGTAACAGTTCCCTTACTCATGTCTTCTCTTTAGAAGAACCATGGGGAAAAAGAGCAGCTTTGCCCTCTGAGAACCTCTTGCAGCTTTGACGCAGCTTTGCAGCAAAAATCCCTACAGTCACATTGCCAGCTTCAGCCAGCCAGTCCAAGAGGTCAGGAAGGAGGGCTTTTATAAATGGGGATGGACGTATGCTTGTCTCTGGGTTTTGTTGTTTCTCCACCACCTGAACATTTGGGAAGGGCCACATTAGGAGAAAGGAGACTGCATTAAGGCTGAATAAAGGATGAATGCATAGAAAAATATCCTCAGATGCCTCTCTCCTGCAATTTGCCAAATACAGGGTTGAATAGGAGTTTCTAGGGTGAAATCGGGGATTTTCACCCCTCTGTCTGTATGTTACCACATTCCCAGCCTTGCAGAAAATCTTCCAGGGACTATTTACGTTCGGCATATTTTATAAATAAAAAACCCACAGCTTCTAAGGCTTCCTTAAGGAACAGATGCCTCCCAAACGAATATTTACAGAAATTTATTATTAGATTTGCAAGCTGCGTGTCTGTAAGAAAGAAATTAAATTAAATTACAAAAGCAGAACCTACCATCAACCAAGGCAAATACACCCATAAACACAAATATGGCATTAGACATAACGTGAAGGAATTACACTGCTCATTTCAAGACCCACTCCAAGCACTGATCAGTTTTTCAAATTTCGGGCAGAATTTTCTTTTCTGTAAACCACTGGACATCGGCAAAGGAAAGCGGTCGTTGTCATTTTTGTACCATTGAAACACGCGTTTCTGATAGATGCTCTGTTTATAAGGCCAGCAAAACTGAAGACAATCCCAACATGATTACTTTACATACGGTATGGCAAGACATGATTACTGAATTTTATTTTTATTTTTCCTTTGTCTTGTACTTCCTAACTGAAGGTCTTCTGCCACAGAAGGAGCTTTTGGCAATATCCTTGCTCCTAATGTTTCTGTCAATACAAAGGATGCCAAACCAAAGCGATGGATTAATTCCTAAGCAGTTTGTACACAAGTCCCCGAGAAGAAACAGCTATCCCCTCTACTGCTAAAACCTCGATCACTTCATGCATTTTGAAGAAGCAGTCCCCTGCTCCTACTCAGAGGTCAAAGGGTCTCAGAGTTAAACTATATTTCCTTCTGTGTCGTGTTTTTCAGTCCCAGTCCTGGCTATGGCTAAACCCAGCGCACACAAACGGGGTCAGTCCCTGCTCGCACTGCCTGCTAAGTCACGCACAGCACGTATTCACTATGAATTATTAGCTAACGAGTCTTCAAGCATGGCGCTGCAGACACCATCAGAAGATGTTAATTTAGATGACTTCTAAAACCTACTTACCTTACTCTTCACAATTTATGCTGCCCAGCATATACTCTCAAATCCATTCCAGTTTTATTCATGAGTTGCAACTCTGCCTCTCCTACGACTAACTTTGATGCAAGTCAGGAGTAGCATGTTTAAGGTTAATAATAATCAAACTTGATTAGTATTAGTACCCCAGACAAAGGAATTAGGTTGTATATCCCATGTCTTGGGTACTTGCAAAAGGCAGAACTGCTGCATGTTTGCAGTGCAACCCTAAGTTTGATAACAGGGTCTCGTTATTAAAAAATGCTTGTACGGACACTACAGAAAAGGAAAAAAAGCATGGAAACTAAAGAGAACGGGTTTATTACGAGGCTAAAGTTTGCTGTGCTAAGCTCTCCTTTAACCCATGAAGCAAGCTACTAAGAAAGCGTGGACTTTGTTGCAGTAGGTGTTCGGCCTACTTTTGCTCTCAATACTCTAGTTCAGGAAAGGCAGCTAGTGAGCCACAGTGTCTTCACCCCTTGTCCCTCCAGAAGAGCGCTCTAGCTCTCATGGAGGGCAAACGACTGCTGTCCCTCCCTCCCTGCTACCGTCGACAGGCAACAGCGAGGAGAAGAGGCAAAAGGACTCCTTCCTCTGCCCAGCCCCAACCACAGAACTTTGCTGCAAGTTAAAATCAGAAGCAGAGTTAGAGTTCCCCTCGCTGACTCTGGGGTCACGCTAGCTGCTGCAGGAACCTCAAATTCTGGGTCACGCCGTCACATTTTGTTGAACTTCACTCCTGCATCCACAACGAGTCATCTCCAGTCAGAGATGTTATCACAGCAAGTACATCTGCAAATATTTTATTCGGTAACTAACAAACTCATCTTTTGGAAGCTGCGTGAATCACGCTGCAGCATCAGAGAGAACTGCCTTATTCATTACACACAGATAACTGCCCCCGAGGGCACAGCTGCTGTAAGGTGAAACGGCAACGTAACTCAAAGCAATCTGCTCCCGACAACCATGTGCACCTGTATTTCTGAGAATACTTCTGAAAGATCCTGGCTGGCGAGCAGAGAAGAGCTTGCAAGAGATGGGAGTGACTCCACTGGGACCAGCCCTACTGCATCTGGCACGTCCACCTTGGAGGGGGTCAGAGCAAAGCGAGGAGCTGGGTGAGCGCGCGTGACTGCCGTGTGTGTGCAAGTGTGCCCGCGGGCACATTTTCATTTATGTGAAGTGCAGAGGGTTAGAGCAGCCCAAATGGGGGAGACACATCTCGTGACTTTTTAACAAGAAAGGGAATTAACAGGAATCTGCACTCTGATCATAGTTTACCAGGGTAAATAATTTTAATCTAATAATAAACTCTTAATAACAATTTATCAAGGTAGTAAGAGAGAAAATCCACTATAATTATACACGTAGTGTAACAAAACCCCCCCCCCCCAAGAAATAATCACTGACTGAGACTAAAATTAATGACACACATGTCAGAGACCAGAACCCTCCTGTATTAGGCATGATATAAAGGTATAGAAAATGGCAGCATCTATTAAAAAAATCAGGTAGAGAATATGACTGAGAAGTTTGACAGCTGAAACAGGAAAAAGACGAGACCCTGTAGAGAGCTGGTGGCAGTCGGTCATAGGACGCCATGCAGGAGCTCCCCAGAGATATGCAAGCAACAAAGAGCATACAGAAGGAACCAGAGGAGACTGTAGAGGAAACGCAGATCCTATTAATACACACACCAGATAATTCAATTCCAGCGGACAAGTGTCCCATCCCAGGTGACATGGAAGCCAGGAACTCTACAGAAAGGGCAAGGAATTAATAGGCAAAACAATCACATATCCTGCTCACTTCTGCTACGGTTCATGCAGGTCAGGTTTGAAGCAGAGAGACAGAGCATGGGGTGTGTACGTCCTATCTTTGGTTGAGATAAACAGAGGATTACAGCCTCGGAGGTTGCCAAACCAGCGTCCTCCAGAATAATTACTCCACACACACCCCTACGCACTTGCCTGCAGAACACACACTGAATACCAGATCATGCTTTTAGTCTTTGAAAGTGCCAACAAACCAACAGACTCCCCTAGTTTCACCTTGAAGCTAGAAACATTAATTTACAATTAATTTTTAAAAAGTAATATTAATAAACTCAAGGATTTGAAGCCTGGGTTCCAACTACCTCCAGATACTGCTGCAGGGATGGGAACTCACCAAACAGCTCTGTGTTTCTGTGAGGGTCTTGGCAACACCCTCCCCACTTGTGCACAGCTATTTAGGATTTTTTCCCACGAAATTTGATGCTCCCATCTTGTCATCACTCCCCCAGACTGAGAGGGGGAGAGCACAGGGGCAAGGAACAGTTTGGCTTACAACACCTAATAACAAGTTTGAGAAATAACGTGTTCTTCCATTAATCCAACATCCTTGTTCTTCAGGGACTGATTCACTCCAGCCAAAATTTTACTGGACAGAGACCAGACCTAGAGAGCCAAATCCCGCTCTTGGTTTCACCACATTAAATCTTGAATAGCTCCACTGAGCATAAGCTACCCAGTAAACACAACAGTACAACCCTGAACACATTCATCAGCTTGAAAACCGTTTCTTTTGGAAGCTGGTTTCAAATCATTCACCCAGAAATAAAACACTAAATCCACTGAACTTGCAAACAGCCTCTCAAAGCACACAGGCATCTGTTGAATAAATCTTCAGTAGCAAAATATCTAAAATAGCTATTGATGCAGATATTATTTATTTTTAAAGGCTGCTGTGAAAATGAACGCACTGGTAACTGGAGAGATATAGATTTTAAAAGAGTGACCAAACTACAGTCTTGCAGAATAAAGGAAAAAAAAATAATCTTATCTCTGATCTACAGAAATCAAGTGGAATTTATCGACCCGCACTGTGATAACAATGATCCGGTCCATATGTCAGCACACAATGGTTTGGTTGTACAGATAATTCTGACATCAGAAGCAAAAACTTTTAAAGCCTGAATGTTACTTAAATCGGTAACATATGTCCTAAAAGGAAGCTTACATAATAGCTTCATTGTGCTCTCAAATAGCTGTAAAGCACTCAAAATCGTAAAACTGATTGTGTGCATGTGTTGCTCGTGCTTGATCAAATCCATGACACAGCCTCCAGTTCTGCAAG